AAAAGCATAATATGCTAATTAGACTGGACAGCCAAACAACCTTCCAGACGTCCTTCCGGATGAAGCTGGGGCTGCGAGGGCCGAGCCCCTTGCACAAATTTCGTGCAGCAGGCCTCTAGTATAAGAATGAAGAGGTCCACCACATAAGAGTTATTTTAGTGTCATATCAATTCTTCCAAATTGATTCTTTATAAGACAGAAACTGTCCAGGTATCAGTGACGTGAGGCACACACTTTGGCTTGTTTTTACTCTGGTGACAGAACTGCCCCAACACATCCACACTGTCATACATAGCTCTTCTTAGCTCCCACACATGAACAGGTGAGGCAGTCTGTACGCTGGACTAGGTGAAGAGATTCAAGAAGACAAGCCCATCTCCTCACCTCTGTTGCCCCAGCATGCCCTATGATCCTAATGCATTCTGAGCACTCCATACATTTTCTTGCCTGAAAGAATAAGAGAGAAGGCACACAGGCCTCCTCAGCACAGCCCACTATTCTTGGTGCTGCCTTCTAATTCCTGGTTTCTGATCTCTCCCCGCCTGTCCGGACAGCAGGCTGGCAGTGGGGCCACGTCTGCTCCCAGCACCTGGCCCCTGCCAGAGAACCAGTACTTATCCGACTGTCAACCCAACAGGTAAGCAAAGCAAACCAGTTTCTGACATACACTATCAAAGCAGCAAGCAGACAGTCATGGCAACAACTTTCTATTTAGCTAACAGTTACCTGTTTCTTGGCACAGGGAATTAGTAACTTACCTGTGGGTCTTTAACCTTTAATTCCGTGTCAACAATAGACACAGACTGCACATTTCTGGTCAGAAAAGGATCATCAAACTCAGTCCACGTGTAGTCACCAAACACAATATTATGTCTGTTAAGTAGCTTTCTAACACTCAGCTTTATGTCTTCTTTTTTTGCCGTGCTGGACAAATAAACAAAACACAAAGATCAGTTCTAAGTTACAAAACACACACCAAGATTTTAACGCTTAAAAACAAAAACAGAAATTGGGGCATACATGAAAAGTGCAGTAGTTCAGAGTACATACAGGAGGGAGTGGGCCTGCCTGGGGATGGAACTGGAGCCACTCCTTGCCTGCCAGCTGCGGGACCTGGGGAGCAGCTCACCTGGAGCCTCCGCTCTTCCTCAGATAAAGGGGGCAGCAGCAACAGTTTTTGCTACACTGGGCTACTTTGGAGATTAGTCAATAAATTCAAAGTGTTTAGGACAATGCCTGGCATACAGTACGCACTCAATAAATGAAAGAAGGACGGCCCACCGCTGTGGGGTCAGGTCAGGAGTTTGCATTTTAACAAGTGCCCCAGGCCTGGCATTCACACTGAGAAAACCCAACACTTCCGGCTTGGCATTCAAGGCTCCCCTCCGCCCACCTTGCCACCTGCCGGCCACGCTGACTGGTGCTGAGATCACACCAAGGTGTGCGATCACTGCGGTACGCCTCCTGGCACGGAAGAGCCTGAGAAACGCTGGCTCCAATGGCAATATCTATATTTCCCCTGGAACCGAGAGCTCTGAGTATCTGGCCCATCCTAACTTCCAGCTTTCCTGGCCTGCGCCCGGCTGAGCTCTGCGTGGGTCCCGTTCAGGGCCCGGCCTGATGGGTCAGGTCCGTGTCCGGCGCAGTGGGCTCCAGTCGAGGTCTGGGCCGAGTGTTGTCCGTCGGGGCCACGCAGAGGCCGAATCGGCTCGGACCTACCTTAGTCCCATTGGGTCGGGTCAGACCGGCTCACCTGCCGCTTCGCTGGTGCACCTCCACATGGATGGACGGCGTCTCGGGCACGCAGGGCAGGGCCTGCTCC